CAATACAAAAATTGATTTTCCGAAGATCTTTTGTTTTGTCAATTTGGTCCCTTTTCTCAGCACCTAGCCCATATATATTGTAAGTGGGAATGGAATTTAAGTGGATTTGGAATTTCCTAGTTAAATTAGGATTAGTGTTAGGGTGTATATGTTGTAAGTGGAACGGAATTTAAGTGAATTCAGAATTTATATATAAAATCCCCCGTTTTTTTGGGGTTGATTTTATCATATGTATACCTTAACGCTAACCCTAACTTAACTAGGAAATTCCAACTCCACTTAAATTCTATTCCCGCTTACAACATATATATGACAAAATCAGCCCCAAAACGAGGATTTATATATAAATTTCGAATCCACTTAAATTCCGTTTCCACTTACAACACCTGTATATATCGTGCCTGTGCTCCAAATTTTAAAATCAAATTAGGCCCGGCCTTAAACATTTTTTTTTTGTACAGGCATGTGCCGGATTTCCAGAACTTATTCATGATAGTTTAGGATTTTAAAGAGTTATTCATTGATTGATAGAATTTTTGCTGTTTGCATCCTGGTATTTTTACATGGCGTATTATTGGCTGAAGCGAAATATTTATAGTCTTACTCTTTGAATTCAGTCACAACCCTATGATTATGATAAAATTAAAATTTAAATTTTTATCCAACTCTGTCAGAAATTCTAATCTTTGAAAAAAATTTGATTTTTTAAGATACGAAAAAGAAAAATTTAAAAAGATAGTGAAGATGAAGAAAAGCTTCAATTGCACCTAAAGAAATGTTATCGAAATAATGTGATAATAAAAAGACAAGATCGGCAAATACAATAAACGTCGAAATAATACTTAATGTCAAAAAAGGCGAAACAAAATAATAGCTTCAAAAACTTATCATAATGATCAAAATTTACTATTGGAATAATTAATAACAAAATTAACTACCGATAGTATAAGACGGTTTGGATCCATCGACTTCTTTATTATTTTATTGGATAACTGGATTATTGTTTATACGAGAGGATCGCGATAGCTAAATTATCAATATTAATGAAGGTTAAGTTTGTTAATATTATGTTAGAATTTCATAGTAGGTCTGTCTAAATTTTACAATTGCCAATTCTCTAACAATCATCACTACATTATTGTAATTGTTTAAGAATTTGGGGGGTTAAAATACGGGAATATATTCTCCAATAAAATGTCCCTAGACGTGAATAATAGGGATATCAAATCATTTAATCACATGACATGAAAACTTCGAGTTTCGATATAACATTTTTCGAAACTCGGTTTAAATTACAGTAACAATTCAATTTATGATAATTTAGTAGATTAAAAATTTTTTTTTATCACTATAACGTTGATTTAGAGACTTTATGGCTTCAGTTAATTAACAGATATAACCGAGTTTTTGTATATCTATAAAAATCATATCATGTATTGGCATAAAAGGAATCGAATATCGTAATACGCACGTACGTACGTAAGCCAATAAGCCAGTCATCCTTGTCAAATTACCCCTCTTCAAAGCATAGAGTATATAATTTTACATTACACATTGTCATCATCGTTACGTATTTCACAATTGTAGATTTGCGAGTTTTTTTTTTGCTCTCTGCTCACAGATGTATCGACATGACATATAGTGTAATTGTAGTATTTTACAGTCAGACCTTTCTAAGCGTATCCTCCCTAAAATGCACACCATGAAAACCTCGAGGGCGTACACTTAGATCTGACTTTATTATCTTTTCATGATTTAAAGCAAATATCTTTTATTCTATTATCCCTTACACGTCCCTCAGGTAAATGTGCCTGCAAATTTTTACAAATTACTCTACGTGTAATAAGTTCTCTAATGATAAGTAAGATTAATTAAATCAATTCAGATTGTAAGAACAAACAGATAAATATTTACTTATATAAATACGCATTGAGATCAACGGCATTTTTTTTTCATAAAAAAAGTATAATGAATGAATTATCAAACAAATTATCAAACGAATGTATTCTTGAAATATTTAAAAACTTTATTACCGATCCTGGAAACTTATTTTCGTGCGTTCTTGTAAATCGTCAATGGTGTGGAATTGCGGTACCATTATTATGGAGTAATGCACTAAAAATTTGTAAAGATGAAAGGCTTATAGATATAACACGAACATATCTTTTTTCTTTAAACGATGACGAACAATCATCGTTGATACCACTCGCAATAAACCTTCCAACTCAACCGATCCCTTTATTTTATTACACCTCGTTTACTCGATCTATTGATGGCTTTAATTTGGTATCTGGAATCAGGAATTGGCTTAATGAAGAAGGATATATGATGTGTAATCCTCGTAATGTTGATTATTACGCTGATTTGAAATTAAATTATTTTAGACAAGAAGATTACAAAGAATTTATGTATTCTTTAAATGCAACTCACATAATCAAATGGGCTTTGATTAAAATGTTTCTAAGAACGTGTAGGGATCTTGAATCTTTATCTATTGAAGGAATTCTTCCCGACAGTTTATTAGATATAATTTGTAGATTCACTACTGTTACCAACTTGAAAATTGCTTATAATTCCTTGAGTTATTATAATTTAAAAGCTCTTTTTGAGAATGAGGCTTTAAGTTCGTTAGATCTCTCGGCAAATAAATTTAATTTTGGATGTTTAAAAGCTTTGAGTCATTGTAAAGGAACTTTCTTGACTGACTTGAAATTTAGTTATGATGAACTTGGTCCCGACGAAGGAAAATTTTTTTCCGAAATTCTATGTGGGAATTCCTTACTAACCTCTTTGGATCTTAGTTCTAATCAAATTGGATACTTAGGAGTAAAGGCTTTAGCACGAGCTCTTTGTGCAAATATACCTTTGACTTCATTAAATCTTTATAATAATTGTCTCAGTGTAGGATCTGTAAAAGAATTGGCCGAAGCGCTTTCCAAAAATTACATTTTAAAATCTTTGAATCTTGGTCTTAATAACCTTGGATTTAATGGAGCCGAAGTTTTAGCGGATGCACTTTGCAAAAATTTCACATTGACTTTTTTAGGTCTTGATGGTAATAGACTCGGACCTAAAGGAGGCGAAGCACTTTCTGAAGCACTTTGTAAAAATACCACATTGAAATCTTTAAGTATTTGTACAAATAATTTTGGCCCTAAAGGAGGAATTGCATTGGCGAACTCTCTTTGCAAAAATAACTCTTTAACCTCTTTGGGACTTAGTGGTAATAATCTTAATTCAGAAGTAGGAAAGGAGCTGGCGAAAGCACTTTGTGAAAACTCTAGTTTAACGTCCTTAGATCTTTGGACAAACGATTTTGATTCACGAGGAATAAGAGCAATAGCAAGAGCTCTTTACAAAAATACCACTTTAACCACTTTAAAGCTCGGATCTACTCAAATTCGTTTAGAAGATATAGAGGAACTTGCAAAAGCGCTCCAAAAAAATAATACTTTAAAAGTATTAGATCATCAATTTAATTATATCGATTTTGAAGGAGGAAGTGTTCTCGTGGAAGGAAACAATAAATCGACCGTATTAAACCTTTACCATAATAAGTTTATGTCGCAAGAAGAAAAATTATTAAAAAAAGCTAGAAAAAAGGTTACTTTTAAATTCAATGTTTAGGCATACAATGTAATTTCAATA